ATATATATATATATGGTTTGTTCTGTAAAAGGACAAAGCAGATTAGTCAGGAATACAGAATAAGTCATTTATTTAAGATTTTATTGAATCTCATGTTATTGCTTAAAAAAGACAGAAATGCTAACATTTATAAATTTGAATCATAATTTTTGGAGTTGGATGGAAAAATCTAGAAGGTACCACTGGTGCACTGATGCACTTTTTGCATTTTGCAGGCAATTGTTGCTACTTCCTCCTCAGCAGTGCAGATTATATTTTCTGGTTAGTGGACGGCACCCGCTGTAAAAGGCCCACAGCCACTAAGTGGCTCTTATCTAATCCATGCATCCTCTTCCCTTATCTGGTATTCACAGGAGCTGGCCCAAGTGTGGCACAAGGCATGGACTATCTAATTAGGGAAAGGCTTGAGCGTCCCCCAGGCTCCTTTGTAATAATGCCTGGGTTTTGTTGCTGCTCTTCTCTTGAGACGTTAATTAAGTTTGTGCTCTGTCACTCATCATGGTTCTGGGATGTCGAGGCCTGCGTGGGTGCTTTCAGTGCAGCTTTTCCCTTTGAAGCATGATGCATCTCCAGTAAGAACCCACCTGTTTCAGCTGTTTACTGTCAAAGGAGTTTACTTATCTTGTGCCTGTGCTACAGGCTGCTGCAGTGTAAATGTTTTAGTGTGTTGCTGAGGTAACCAAGAAAATCTTTGTTCAGTGTGGTCATGGGATTTTTCTGCACAGCTGATCGCTTGCTTTTGTTTCCCAAAGACCCAAAGGTGAATAGTCATGTGCATGAACTGGAGCAAAGTTTGAGTTATTATTATTTTTATTTTCCAAAACATTTAGTAAAAGTATAGTATAGTGTCATAGTAAAAGCATATTAGTAATACTAATATGTGGATATGTCAACAATTTTATGTCTCAGATTTGATTATATACAGTAATTGTGAGTAAGCCATCAGTTGATTTAAATCTTAAAGTATTCAGTGTTTTAAAATGTTCATTCTGTCAGATTTGATATTTAGTTTTATATTTATTTATTTTAAGTGCCTGTGACATCAGATTTTTTGAATAAATGAGAATGCATTTTTGGAAAGATAAAGTATTTAAAAAATAAAATTCCGGCCACTGAGAAGAACCGTTTTTTGAGATATTTGCATGTGAAGCAACAGGAAGTGATGCCAAATGGGGAATGTCTGACAGTGAACAGAGCATTGCTACAATAACAACACAGACAGTAGAGAATGATTTTTTAGAATAGTTTGAGAGATGAAGATTCAGAATTTAAATAATATTATTTCAGTAAATAAAAAAAACAAGGAGTTGTCTTCCTTAAATAATTCCTCTTTGATGTCATTTCCTGTTTCACTTTGGCTGAGCCAAATTCAAAAGAAAATATACGAGTTATTTGACAAAACTGGTGAAATGCAAATATGTTTTCTTTGATTTTTTGCTGTTGAAATATAAGCATGTCAAACACAGTTTAAATGTTTCTAATATTTGTTCATTTATATATTTAGACTTCTTGTTTATAAATTATAAAACATGTGGAGATGTTATGTCAATGTAACTGTTTGTCTTTTGTTATATAAGGCTATTGTGATGAATTTGTTGCATCATTATTGGTTTTTATCTTGAGTGTGACAACATTTATATCACTGACTTAACCACATGAAATATTTAGAAAAAAAAAAAAAACTAGTCAATCAAATCCTGATCTCACAATTACATATATTCCATCCAGTCCCTGATGTCCATTAGGGTCTGGAGATCACATTTGTGCTGTAAGTGGTAAGATGTGGGAAGAACCACCAGGGGTGTGCTGAAAACTACTCAAGCGGAGGTGGTCACCACAGCAGACACATGTTGATGCTTCCCTCTGCCTTCTGCAGGAAATGAAAAGCTGACGGTTGTGACACGGGCCGTCTAATCCCCCTGCACTCAACGCCACTCCCCCCCTCACCCCGTTCAGTGCTGCCAGCTGGTGCAAACAGCTGCTGCGGCTGCACTGTCCATCACTGCTGGCTGACAGGAGGCTGACAAACATGACTGGGTGTGAAAGCGCAGAGACTGACAGACAGACTCTGTAATCAGTGTCTTATTTGCTGGTTGCAGCAGCCAAATAGAGTCTGAGCAGTGATCATTTGCTGTGCCGTGTCACAAAAAAATGGCTACCTGTCACATTTAGACTTTGTGGATTACACTCTTTGCAGTGGTTCACCCACCCCATCACCTTTGACTCCAGGGGGTCTTATTGTTTCAGTCTTGATGGTATTGGGACTGATAGAGACCTTTTTCCTACAACAGTAACAAGTCAAAGGGGACCGACTATTATGCCATGTTTTGTTGCATACTGTATGTTTAAATATGAACATTAAGAGGATGGAAAAGATCAACTGCAATGCACTGTACAGAAGAGACATATTGGGCATTTGGAACCTGTAGTTGGGACATATAGGTTGGCTCTTATTGGAGATTAACAAGGTCAGTATGTTGGCTTGGCCTGGCCTAGCCTGGCTTGGCTCGCAGAGGGATGAGACTTATCTGCTTTCACTCTCACTGGTACTCTTGATCCTTTTTCCTACCGCAACAAAGCTAAAGCAGAGTTAGAAAGCCCAGTTAGTTAGTTTGACTTGTATCAGATCAGTWTTATTTACCTGTTATTATCCATCCATCCATTATCTATACATGCTTCTTCATTTTAGGGTCATGAGGGTCACTGGTGCCCATATCCAACAGACTCAGTTCAAGGGGCGTGGTACACCCTGGACAGGTCAAAAGTCCATCACAGGGATATTTAGAGACAAAAAAAACATTCACTCTCTCACTCACACCTATTTAGAGTTATCAGTTCTTATAATAAATAATAATAAATTGCAATAATATAGACATGATGTGACCAAGGAGTGACCCAGAATAACAGTACTGCTGGGTGAGAGGGATGGATGGAGATGAGAGATGTTACGGAGGTGATAACGTATTGTCTAGGATGACACCGATTAGCCTAACATTTATGTTTTTGATGTGTGAGAGGAAACCAGAGTACCCAGAGAAAACCCACACATGCACAATGATAACATGTAAACTCTACCCGGATGGTATCCCTGTGCCAAGATTTGAACCAACAACCTTCTTGCTGAGAGGCAACAGCTCTACCAACTGAGTAACGGTGCCATTAATTGTCATTGTTTAGTGCAAATTCATGACGAAAAGTAATGTTGGAGGTTTAATTGTTTGAGAAATCTATCAGTTACCTAAAAGCAGAATTTGAAAAACGTGCTTGTCTGTGAGCTACTTTCATAACATGGTACGATTATTTATTATCATTAGTGATCAGCGGTTTAACAACAAAATTAGTTTATTTTATTTATTAATTTTTTAACCTCACCTCAATTTTTGCTTTTTTTCAGATAAATACAACAGCTACGTGACGTTGAAGGTGCAGAATGTTAAAAGCACAACGGTCACTGTGCGCGGGGATCAGCCCTGCTGGGAACAAGATTTTATGTTGTAAGTTATTAAACGCAGACATTACACTCCTAAACTTTAAGATATATTTAACTCTGAGGAATAACATTATCCCAAGAGCTAAATTACTAGCTCTCTGCAATCAAAACAATAAAGAGAGGCAAAACGACAATGATTAATTCTGCTAGGTATTAATCATTGGTTGGTTAAATTTGTTATAATGTTTGTTTTAATATCTTTTTTTACAAGCAGGGTTACTTAAATTGTTATTGCCCCAACTAAATGTGATTAATAATTTGACTTGATTTCAGATAGTTTTGTTTGTTTACATGTACAACTCTATGAGCTAAATTGCTAAGCAGTTGATGCTCATCTCTTCCATGTATTCTATTGTTGTAATTTCCACAGTTTTCTGTCCCAGTGAACCGTATCTATGGTCACAACAGTCATGTTTCACATGTGTCATTGTTTGCCTTTTGGAAACTCTATCGTCGCAACAGTGTTTGTTTTTCCAGACCTTCATTTTTCCTTCTGTCCATTACTTATGTGTCAGCTCAGTGTGATTCAGCATGCAACATAAGAATTTATTAGTTTCCAGCAGAAGCTCAGGGTCATCTGTTAAAAGGAAATCTATGGCAATGACTGTCGTATTTTTTAAAAAATAAATTCAAAGAAATAAAAAAGGATCTGAAGACCTGAACGTTTTATAGTTTCCACTATTGCATTTTATTGTTTTTAGACAAAGTACAAATGCATAATATTTTCTTTAGCAGCTGAATCTCTACTTTTCTCTTTTAACATTTTAACTAAAAAAATGAAGTATTCATAAAAAATGAATAGTTTATTAACTTGAGGTTCTTTTTTGTCACACATCAGTTTTGTGGATTTAAAAAGGTAATGTTTAGTTTTATTACAGTTTATGTGGGGATTATTTATGCCCCTTTTCAACCATGGGACACATTTATTTATGTTTTTATTTTTTATTTCGTCTCTCGGTGAAGGCAAATGTATTTCTCCTCTCTCTTCAGCCTTCCCTTATCTATCCTGCTTTGCTGCATTTTGGAGCCTCTTTTTACATATCATTCAAACTGGAAATTAAGGATCTGGTCAGCTGGTCTCTCAACGCTATCGATCAAATTTTTTCTACATSGAAACTGGGCAAGGAGAGCCCTCTAGTCCTGATGGGACATACGCAGCAAGGCGCGTTATGGATTCTTGGGGTGATTGGAAGATAATGTGCCTTTCTACGCTGTTGATTGAGGATGTTGAAGATGTTTACATAATTGGATTATTGATAGCAGGATTTCTGCTAATTGGAGATGTTGGATATCTGGGCTACTGTGAAATTCGCAAAGTATCGGGAGTCATTCGGGCCCTGACTTGTGTGATGGGATTTGCCAGACTTTCAACACTCAGACTCAAGCGCTGCTGGAGCAGAGCCAAAAGCTGGATGCTGTCCACGTTGAGCGTCACAGGCCAGCTGCKGCTCCTGTGCAGGCTGGCGAGAATGTATAGATCTCGGAGAAAGTTGTGCTTGGTGAAAGGCGAGGAATGACCAACAAATTCGGCTGATTGGAATTTCGCCATAAGAGTTCTATTGAGACATTAAGGCAACAAGCAAATCTACAGAAGTCAGCCGGTTCCAAACGAGTTGTGATTATCTGATTTGGCACCCCTACATGGCCTTCAAGGGATATCAAACTCTCCTGGAAGTTATGTCAACAGATGCTCTGGCCCCACATCCCTCCTCCCACTCACATCTGTGAACTGGTGTCTGGTAGCAACCGAAGGTCAAGCAGAATGTACAATAACATCAATATTCTGAACTATGGCAGRGCTCTAGGTGACTGGTTTCGTCATTTTATCTACAGATGTTCATGCAAGCGCATACAACACTTTCACAGATTTACTAAGTTCTCCAGGTTATGTTTTGTCTGTATCTCTTGAATGGGTTGTTCCGAATTGTTCCATTCATGGGATCAATAAAGTTTTGTTTCATTCATTCATTCATTCATTCATTCATTCATTCATTCATTCATTCATTCATTCATTCATTCATTCATTCATTCATTCATTCATTCAATTTAGTTTAATTATATGTGGGGTTTGCAAATCTCTAAACGCTCAACCATAGAAGCACAGTTTGTGTTACCTTTTATTTTGCCTAGTATTGCAATATGTTTCTGCATTATACAAAATAACGAAATACGAGTAGTAAAATCTGTATTGAATAATAAATAAAACAGAAGGATCCCTATTAAAATTAGATCCAGTTTGTTTTTGATACCTTGCTGTTACCTATATTTATTTTGTGCCAATTTAGAAGAGCAAATGCTTTAGAGAGCCATTTTTTGTTTTACACTAGGATGCCTGACCCTCATTGCCCTCTTCTGCACTTCCTTTATTTATCTGCTGTCTTTGATTATCTTTTCTCGTATCTTCCTTTTGTTCACCCTCTAGATGAATCTAAACTGCCACAGCTGAGAATATGCAAATGCCTTTGTTGTGYGGCTCCTTTCATAATGAATATGCCATTCTCTTGCTGTCATCAAGCYGTATTTTTTTAGCCTGTTCAATAGCTTGTTGAATAAAACAAGGCAGGGGTGGACTATAGCAGCTAAAACCATCAAAAGGTGGCTTTTGTTATCAGTGGATGGACCTGACAGAAAATTCTGCTTCATTTGGTGCGAAAGTAACTCATATTGSAAAGCTTTTTATTATAAAAATCATTTCCCAAATACAAAGTTACTGTTCTACTAGTATTCAACATCTTTTTTTAGCAGATTCTTTTTTTTTAAATTTATTTATTTGTTTAGATTGACTGTTGACTTGCATTAAGCTCTTACCTTATTTTTTTTTCTTTGTTCCTCAGTGAGATCAACCGGCTGGACCTTGGTCTTATTGTTGAGGTTTGGAACAAAGGTCTCATTTGGGACACCATGGTGGGAACAACCTGGATTCCACTTGAAAGCATCCGACAGTCGGAGGAGGTTAGAAGGGAATTTTTCACAAAAACACATGATCTAAAACTTAATAATTCTTAGACTCTAATTTAACAAGAAAAAAAAAACAGTATTTTCTTTTTAATTATCTCTCTACAGTTGTTTATCTATGGTGTGACTTAACAGTTAGCCTAAACATGGAACAGATATTTACAAAAAGCTACACCAATGATACTGTCTCAATGTACCATCATTGGAAAATAACTGATGGTTAGGAATCAATAGAAAAATGGTGAAAAATTATTTATGTAAATCAATATTCATGTTTTTGCAGGAAGGTTCAGGTGAGTGGATTTTCTTGGACACAGAAGTCCTGATGAAAGCAGATGAGATATATGGCACCAAGAACCCAACGCCTCATCGAGTGCTGCTGGATACTCGCTTTGAGCTGCCTTTTGGTGAGTTTTCCTGCCCCAAAATGCCAAATAATAAAACTTTAGTCATTTATGATGTTTTAATTTGAAGGAAATGTCAGTAGACCTGTTCATGTCCAGTTGGTGACGTAAGCTATTGTTTTGTTTTGTTTTGTTTTTTGCATATTGATTGTGTAACTGAGACCAGATCACATGGATAATGAGTTTGGTGACGCACTTTTATGCCAGTCACAAACATGCATTGTTAGAACCGTTCACGTGTGATTGGATCAGCTATAATGCATGTTAAAACCAGATGAGAGCAGCCCTAGTTTACCTGGTACTTTTTCTGAAATGGAAGGTCAAGTATGTCCTCTCTCTACCTCTTCTGTACTTGACCACTTTTCATTTTGCCACTGTTTTTTTATTGCTGCCACTCTATCACTGGCTCAACCCTTGTGATCAAAGAGCATCAAATTTACAGTGGGGGCGGGGGGTGTCTGTGTGCTGAGGGGGAGGCTGCTGCTTTCTCTGTTTTTAGAGGAGGCCTTTCAAAGTGTTCATGTGTGTTCTGTGCCACCAAAGCCATTCATTAAAACTGTAGACCAGTGTGTGTGGCTTTGAAGTCCCACCCTTTGTGTTGGTGGCCTTTTAATGCACATCTGTCCACTGAGCATCTTAAATCCACTTTAAAAACAGGAATGGTAATGGAACATTAATTCATATACAACAGTAACAATCTCTCAAACAGTGAACAGTGTTGAAAAAATAATCTAAAATTAAACAAAATGTTATTTTAGTTTGTTTTTTTTTTTTTTCGCTTTTTTTAACATAGATAGATAGCACAAAGTAGCTATGCTTATATTTTCAGACTAGTTTTACACCTGTACTCCAAAGTAGCTTCTGAAAAAATGAAACGGACATGAGCAGTGCGTCTGAAATGTTTATTTTGTGAATACTTTACCRCCAGACATCCCAGAAGATGAGGCGCAGTATTGGACTGGCAAGCTGGAACGGATCAACATGGGAATCCATGATGAGGCAAAGTGCACTTTATGAAATAATCTCATTCTTTTTTGTCCTTTTTAAAATAAGCAAAATGACTACTGCATTCATTTGTATAATTCTAATCTTTGTTTCTCTCTCTTCTGTGCAGTACCCTCTTCAGGATGATGATCAGAGGGACCCGCTGCCRTTTGCAGCCTCCCAGTGTTGTGAGTACAGTATCTTCCCCTTCTGGACACATCTCCCCCTCTAGATGGAGCCACATCATCACTGTTAAAACAAAAGCTCTGTAAATTCCCAGTTTAGTTTATTCGTAACGTTACGCTAACTGAGACCCTAGTGTTTTGCATTGGAGTGAAAATATATTAGAACTACTTATGGTTCCCTCATTTTCATACTTTTTCAACACAGGGGCCTTTATTTATTTTTTTACACAAACCCTGGCTCCTTGTGACTTACCTCTCTGTCTCACTTGTAACATTTGCACTTTCACCAGGCAACTATTTCGGATGGGCCAACCCTCAGAGTATGTAACAATACTTTAATGAAACTCTCTCCCTGGCCAACCCTTGTTCCTTTTTGCATGTTGTAATGGTGCCCATTAAAATTAAATATTAAAAAAATTTGTGAATTATATTTCCACTGCCTGTTGCATTTCACAATTTTACTTGCTGCTTTCCTTGATGTCCTTTGGCCCTTTTATTTCCGGATATGTTCCTTTTCTCTTAATGTTAAGTCTGGTTTTATAACATAAGTGGTTCTTTTTTCTGAAAAGTGGAGTCGGGATAAAATAATGTCATCCAGACCACCTTGAATAAACCTATTGAAGGCTAAAGGATTTTAGTGCAAAATTCAGAATCACGTGTCTATTCAGTGATAAAACTTAAATGTATATTTTCCATAAAAATATGAATAAATKATATATTTTTCTTTTTTGGGCTTTGTCAGTATGCTTGTCGAGAATACTGTATATGTTGCCACAGCAACTTTCTATTTTCATGAAAATTTCTGCTGAAGATCCCCAAACCTCTGCATTCATGTGAGGGCAGCAGGTTCTATTTGCTAATATATTTTCAGTCTTTAATTAAGAGAGATAAGAAGGAGCCATGCCAGAGACTGGCATATTTATGCAAGGCTCCTGCTGTGTTTACCTTGATGAAATCACTTGTTAATTACACAAGGTGGCTACTTGGTAACATTGTGTGTTTCTACTATGATCTAGCTAAGTGTATTTCAACCCTGGTCCTCAATGCACACTGCCCTGCATGTTTTAGATGTTTCCCTGCTTTAATGCAGCTGATTTCAGTTGACATTTGATTAACAGGTTTTGCTGAACTGCAATCATCTGAATCAGGTGTGTTTAAAGCATAGAAATGTCTAAAACATGCAGGGCAGTGTCGACTTGATGACCAGGGTTGGGAAACACTGATCYTTTTCTTCTCCACTTGGATATGATCTCTGTCTATGTGCTCAAAACTTATTTGCTTTGTACTTGCTGTTAGTCTTTTAAGAAGTTCCTGTTCTGGACATTTACAGAATCCCTTTTTACTCAGCACTGAATGATGCTAATTTATTTTTGTGGGACTTATTATTTCACTCGGCTAAAGGAAATTCATGAAAAATACTACTCTGCAGCCTTTTTTTGTCCCTAATGGGCAATAACTCTTTTTTTTTTCCTTATCTTTATAGAATAAGAGTTGTGTTTCATTGTATAACCAAATATTACTTATTCAAGATTTCTTCCTGTTGCAGCTTTGGATGACCAGGACAGTGCTGTGGATGACCGGGACAGTGATTACCGCAGTGAGACAAGTAACAGTTTGCCTCCTCGTTACCACACAACAGCTCAGCCCAATTCGTCCATGCACCAGTATCCCATTGGGCCTCGGCCACATCACCTCTCGGACTGCTGCACAGACTCAGTCCACAGTTTCGATCTGAACTACAGAGACCAGAGAGGAAGCAGGTAGACAAAGTATAGGCATTACTATATCAGATTAAGGAATTCATAAGAATAAATTGAATATTTATATAATTATAAGAATGATCATTACTTTGATTAGACGGATACTTGGTCTGTCATACAAATTGTCTTTTTGCATGAGCTGCAATCTTGTGAATAAAAGACATTTGCACCAATGAGACTACTACAGATATGTAGGCTGATAGAGCCTGATCTGTATTTCTATTTTGGAAAAAAGAGGAAGATTTATTGCCAAGTAAAGCTTGTTTTCTATTTCCTTTTGTTCAGTGGCTCTGCTGTGTTTTTTACACTTGATGGTTATTTTCTTGGCTTTGATTTTGGTTTTGTCTTACTGCAAAGAACACCTCGCTGTGGTACATCCAAAGAAAACAGTTCAGTGACAAATATCACTCTGTGTAACTAAAATATCTAGCAAGGTGCCTTTGCAATCATTTTGTCTACAGAGTAAAATTGTTTTTGAATTTTGTCATTTCAAGCTGCTAGATAATTATTGCTAATCATAGGAAAGCTGTTTCACTGTCACAAATGGAATGGTTGATGGGCATTTTAAGTTTTTTTACACTTGCATGCAACTGTTCCTGTTTTATGTCTGTCGGATTTCTTTCACAATGCCTAACTTGTCTTTTTTTACAATGTTTTCTTTTTTCTTTACTTTCCCTCTGTCTTTTTATCCATTCTCATACCCTTGTTAAACTTGTTCCTTTACCTAATAAGAGCCCTAAATCAGAAAGGAAGAATTAGAATAATACCTGTAGATTCTGGCATGGGGGTTGAAGATTGGGAAAGTAAATACAAAGGGCAAGGAAAGCCTCAGCTGAGTGACTTTATAGATGATGAAGAAGACAGCATAAGCTTCCGAATGAGAAAACCATACCCTGAGCCTTCAAGCCCACCAGTCAGTCACACTAAGCTGCACAGTAGTTTTTTACCTGCCACCTACCCTGAAGGGTATGAAACTATTGACAGACGCCGAAAGAAAAAAATAATGGACCCAAGAGGACTTCTTAGAAAAGAGACAAAGAAGGAAAGAGAAGAAACTTCTCAGCCTGACTCTACACTGTTCCACGAGAAAAGGGGTGAAGTCTTAATGCATCAGGTAGCAGAGATGCAAGAAGAAGAGGATCATATTACATCAAGTCTGAGGCCATACAAGGATGAGCTTCTGTATAAAACAAGGATGTGGGCTAAAAATGATTTGGACAACACTTTAAAGAATTACGTGGCATACAAAAATGACCAAGATGGTAGAACGGGAGCCCAGATTGATTTTAAATTGGAGAACTGTCAAGATTCAAACTACTCCTCAGGAGAGAAAGGTCTGGATGCCAACGACTTTTATTTGGAGAATACAAGACATTACAAAGAACGACATTCTTCCTCGTATGAGGGCCACATGAATTTTTTGCAAGGCCTTTGTGAGAAGAAGTGTGCCAAGTCAAAATCCAGCGGATGGGTTTCAGATGCAATTCTCTCTCCTGTGGAAGAGCCAAGTGATGAATATGTAGACACAATGGATGAGCTTCAGTGTCTAGTTGAAACTGTTTCTGAGTATCTTGCTGAAAAGGAGGAGGAGATTAGCAAGTATGGTTCTCTTCCCAAGTCAAGCAAATCAAGACTATCTTCTCAGGGTAGTAATAGAACAGATTCTTTTGGAGAGGAACCACTTAGTTCAAAGGATTCTAGAGGAGAATCTCAAATACAGCCACCTCCTGATCAGGGTGTTTTAGGTGTAAAACATGCTATGAGCTCATTGCTTAGTTCTTTCACTGACAAAGTTGGAGGAGGTATCAAACAACCTGCTCAAACTCCACAAGTGCCATCTGCACAACCTTCACAATCTGGACTAACAAGACTTTTGTCTTTTATCCCTAAATCAAATAGCACAGCTCCTGTAGCTGTTGTATCTCCAGTAGAAAGTTCTCCTGAAAAATCCTTCAGTTATTTGCCTTCTCAGTTGATACAAGCCAAAACACAAAGTAATCAGGAATCAGAAAATGCAACAAGAAGTCAACCCCAACCATGTACAAGAGAGCAAACCCCTGATCTTGGAGCTAAACATCAAATTTCCCCAGGAAACTCAGTTTTGGGAAAACTGAATCCTTTGAAAATGTTTTCAGCTGGAGACAGCAAAACCGGTTTTGAACACAAACAAGGAGCAGAATTTAAATGTCCTCAAGAACTTAGACATTCAGATGTAAAATGTGCTGATAAAAGTGTTCATCTAACTGAAAAATCAATGATGTCTGAAAACACTTTCAAATCAGTGCCAATGAGTAGTTCATTCTATGATAAAACTTTGAGCCAAAATCATGGGAAACAAAATCCAGGAATTTACAAACAAGAGAACTCCCCTCTTCCAGACTCACAAAGTTGTACAAATCAAACTGCAAACACTGGAATTTTTAGCCCTTTTAAGAAGTCATTAAGTTCATTGATTACTCCAGCCAGTATAGTCCCCACTCACAGAGCTCCCCCTGTGGCAGTTTACCCAGTGTTTAGAAACAAAGATGAGCCCCAACTAGAGAAACCAGTGAAAGAACCATCACTTAGTGGTAATCCTAAACAACCTTTTCTCTCCTCTGACACATGTTCCTCTCAGCAGCATTCCAAAACAGAAGGGGGGCTACTTTCTAGTTTTTTTAAGTTTTCATCTACTGAAGACATACATACCTCTGTGAAAATACAGAGTCATTCACCGGAGTATCATGAATTGTCTTCATCAAGCTCCACTATTACTCCACACAATTCTGCCATGCCCCAGGAAAACAGTGAAAAAGGATGGTTTTCGAGCATATTTAACCTTCCCTCTTCTTCCGCTGGTTCAAACCCAAATCCTGTTCAAAATTATCAGTCTCATAACAGCAAAGTGCCATCTGGACCACAATGTGCTTCCAATTTGGAAACAAGAGGAACCTCTCATGGCATGCAGCATCAGCATTTCAGTGAGTCTAAATCACAATATTTTACCACTGGTCCTTTAAAAAGTGGCTCTACTGRAGACATTTCTTATATTGACTCTAATCATCCCAAACAAGGTCTGTTCTCTGGACTACTTAAATTAGGTTCCAACACTGACCTTTCCAGTACTGGGCCACAGCAGGCAAACAGTCAGTGTATCCAAAGCAAAAGTGCCTCACAGATCTCTCATCAATCTAATCTGCATCAAAATTCTACAACTCCACAGAAAGGTGGTCTTCTCTCAGGGTTACTGAAATTTTCATCAATGGACACCCTACAACAAAATGTACAGTCTTCTGAAGCTGACAAGCACAGAGGCTTATCTGGCAATAATCCTGATCAGCAGAAAGCCTCAAGAGGAACTCCACAAACACAACCTCAACAAAAGGGGCTGCTGTCGGGCTTGCTTAAATTTGCATCTTCAGAGAATAGTTTAGTCAGTCAAACAGTTCATGAACCTAGTAGTGTTCAACATATTCAACAAGGCAACAATATGCAAAATACTCAATGTCCAAATAGAGGTTCTCATCTAAAGAATAGAACATTTAGCCAGCAACATGTACAACAGGAGGCATGTAAACCAAGTGTTACTCGACAACAAACTGTTCCTCTTCAACAACCTCAATCACAACAAATGGGCCTTTTATCTGGTCTTTTCAAATTTGCTTCAGCTGACAACATAAACATACAAAATCAGCCATTGGTGCAACAGGATGGAGTTCCTCAAAGTAAATCCAGTCATAATCAAACAAGACCAAGTAACATCCCAGGTTCCCACCAAAATCAATCACAAAATACCACAACACAGTCAACACAAGTAAGTGGCCTGTTTTCTGGACTATTCAAATCATCCTCTGAAAACATGACCCAACACCAACATGATAGTATCTATGAGACTCAAACAAATCAACACATCAAAGTGCCATGCACCCAGACTTGCCCAACACAAGAAGAGACCGCAAGTCAATCTGGAGTGCTCCCTGGGTTATATAACAAATTAACAAAAACTTCTGAAAGCACACACACAAGTTGTCAGAAATCTGCAGAACATTCACCACAACAAAAAATCACTTCGTCCACAATGACAACGCAAACTCCATTGCAAAATCACCCTTTTCAGTTAGTTAGTAACTCAACACAACAATCCTTAGATGAACATGTAGACCGACAAAAGACCACAGACACTGCCAAGCAAGGATTTTTATCGGGATTGTTGAGCAAAAATGTTTCAGGGTACCCTTGTACTAATAAAGAAGCAAAGCCTTATCAAATTTCAGAACAATTTACCCCCTCACATACAGTTTCAAGATTAACTTCAGATTTTTTAAAAAGTACAGTCTCAGAAAGTCCAGTGAATATGTTGCAACGATCTGTTTCAGAATCTTTGAATCCAGGACACAGTAGGCATGCGTTAATTAGAGCACCAGTATCAATTCATGCTGATAGCTTAGACTTGCGAACATCAACTGCTTTTGCAAGATCTCTCCAGTGTCAAGAAACTCACTACTCATTTAGTACAGGTAATTTATCTCAGTTATACTGCCCTCACTCACTTCTATCAACTAGCCCTATGTCCTATAGCACAGGAAATATTCACTCCTATTTGCAAACACAAACAGCTTCTCCAATCATGACTTTGCATTATATAGATGGAAACAATTCAGCTTTGCTTGGAGCTCGAAGTCAGAATCTTCAACAAGGTCAGGTAACTGACTGTGAAATAAGTCCCACCTATGATGAAAACCAGTGGATTCGGGAAAGTGTCCTTTGGCAGCAGTTTCAAAACGAGTCCTTGAATTATCCTTATCAAGGAGAAAACCAAGACTATCAACAATGCTGTGAAGGTATTCCATTGCCAGAATCTACATTTCATAGCAGCTATAATCAGTCAGTTGCCCATGTTCCTTGGCAAGCTGTTCCATGTCACCAGAACCAAATGGAATCTTATCAWTATAATGGACAAAGTAATGATGTTTCATATACCAAAAGTAAATTATGGAGGAGTTATGAAGATTTGGAAGACACAACATATTCACCTAATAAGGAAAGTGCACTAAACTTGACGAATAAACTGAGCAATGCAAACTTTGTGAAATGGCATTCATTTAATGATGGTAGTTCTTACAGCTTGAATGGGGTTTCATATTWTGAAGGCTTTTATGAGGAGAATGCACCAAGCTTATCTTACTCAGCTAACTGGCAGTATGGAGTGGAAAATGAAAACCTACAAAATCTTCACACTAATCGCATGAATCAATTTGGTGTGTTTAGTTCAAATAGACCAACAAATACAAATCATCCTGTAGGTGTCTACACTGAGACAGAAGACTCTCTGTACCTTGAGGACACTGAATGGTATCAGCAGTGGCTTGCTCTTTTGGAGCAAGGAATGTGGTGGCCAGCAGAAGATGGTGACTGTGGCTACTTTGTTTACACAGACCATGAGTATATTTATGCCCTGCTTACAGATGCAGAAGGTGAATATGTGTATGCCTGTACACCAGAAGGAGAATTGTGGGAAAATGCACAAACATTGGATGGTTTACCTAGTGCTTGGCTGCACAATGAAATGGTTTTAGTATGTGGTTTCAAAATACCACTTTACAATGAAGATGAGCTTCTTTGGCTTCCTGGGCAAGACCAAAGTGATCCCCAGCTTCTTAATGCTCCTCTAGATTTGTCTGCTGCATATAGAAAAGGAAATCAGATCATGAATTTAAATCTTGCACAGTTCTCTGAAATGTTTGAAAATTCATTTCTTTCACAAGGGCAGCAAGGTATGGATTTCTCATCTTATAAATTAAACAAAGTCAGGATGGACCCAAGACAGTCTAGTTATGGCTATAAAAATTACTGTCAAGATGTTATTGACCTTTCATGTCATAATAGAGATCACATTGGTCCCTGTTGGAACAACTATGAAGTTAAGAAATTTCTTGCTCAAAAGGTTTCTGTTTCCCTAAACTCAACTTCTATAGAAAACTCAAATAATCAGGTGCTTTACAACTGCTATCAGCCTAGCCAGCAAAGGCGTTCATCTACTGCTGTGACAGTAAAACATGTAGATGATGTTTCTGATGAAGAATGGAGAAAAAGAGTGTCTTCCGTTGAAGAGTTGCCTAATCGTCAAGTCAAAAAAATGTCCTCCCTAATATCTTCTTTTGTGGGGAAATCCTCGCAAGGGGAATTGAACAAAAATAGTACGCCCCATTGTGATCAAACTGGCAAACATGCAAAGAACATTTTGTCAACAGGTTTTCAAAATCTTAAGTCTAAAATTCTCAAAGAAGAATCTGCTGCTGTTGTGACTCACCCAGAAAATGTTAAACAACAAATACAGAAGCCAGCTGCCACACAGGGAAGAATTTTGCCAACAGCACCTACATCCCCTCAAGTGACCTATCCTCCAACGCTTGTGCATACCTCTTCACAGAAACCAAGGCTATCACGTCAAACTACTATGGCACAGCAAGAGATCCCACCAACAAAACCCAATGTATCAGTATCTTTATTATCTAATAAGTCTCTTAATAAACCCACACAACCTGTGTTTTCAGCTGATAAGCCAGTGACAACACCATTACAGAAATCGTCAGAACAACCACATGTAGGCTTCACAAGTTTTCTCAAGTCTGCAGTAGGCATGGATGAAACAAAACCAAATCTCCAGACACTTCCTCAGGCAACTCCCGATCTCCAAAGCAAAAGTGGGAGCAGTGCACCTATGTCAAGCAGTGCCAGTGAAAATAATGAGGGTACTGGAGTGTCAAATATCTTTGGATCAATTAGCAACTTATTTAGCGAGTCTTCTCAACCACAAAAATCACACATGAAACCTAGTGTTACAGAAAGTTCACTCTCATCAACATCCAGAGCTAAGGGTATAGCAAGACAACAAACAATGGATCTAAGTGGAACACCTTTGCTAACACAGAGCCAGACCTCAACTAAAAATGTATCAAACAATTCTTCTCTGACTTATTCCACTGGCCCAGCAGTTAGCAAGTCAGAAACTACACCAACCACAATGCAAACAAACCAAGAAACAGGAACTAAACCATCTGGTGGACTCTTTGGATTTTCAGTTGGAGATTTGCTAGGATCAACACAATCTGTTCAGTCTACTACAATACCTCAGACATCAGCCACAGCTCCACAAGAAGAGTCCCTCGGAAGAAGTATATTTTCATTGTTTACTAGTTCAAGCCCTCAGCAAACTCCACCTAAAACTGAATGTTTGCCTCAAACACATCCACCTAGTGTAATTCAACAACCACCTCAGCAGGACACATTTGGTAAAAGTTTATTATCAATGTTTGGAGGATCAAGTCCCACCCACCCTCCTAATCAATCTAAGACTAATGCTGAAACACCACAACAGGGAAACATTCCTCCTAAAGACTCTCCATCCTTAGGATTCCTTTCAATGCTTAGTGGGACCAGCTCCCAGCAATCTCAAGCTCAATCAGGATCTTTTCTTGGAGGGGTTGTGCCTGGGTCATCAAGTTCATCTGAACACCCAATGAAAGGATTGTTCTCAGTTTTCAGTGATTCCGTCACTTCACCAACTCAACCACCAACTATGCCATCTCAGTCARACGCTCAGGCTCCAAATCAGCAACAGCTTGATCATCAGACACAATCTAAACCACAAAAACAGTCTCAACCACAAAGACACACAGGAGATTCTGTTTTGGGGGGTATATTTGGTGGCTTATCTAGCTCAAGTGAAAATTCAAAGAAAACTTTTTTTTCCATGTTTAGTGCTCCCTCAACTCCCCAGCCACAAGGATTTAGTGGAAATACAAACTTGTCTTCTGCTCCTGAGACTGCAGCACCAAAAGTACCTACTGAAAACATAACCTCTGTTTTGAATAAAGTTGTCACACAACCACAACAATCTTCCAATTCAGCAATTTTTATCAAAGAACATGCACAACAAAAATTATCCCAAATGTCATCAGATTCAAGTAGACAAAGGTCAGATCCAACAGATGCCAATAAACTAACAAATGAACTATCAGAGATTAAAGATAGCAGTGTCTCAAGTCAACGACATGCTAGCCCTTCAAGCGATATTGCTGTAATTGGTGCAAGTACTAATAAAGAGGATGTCACAATTAAAGACGCAAACATGTCATTAAAAGAACCACAATCCATATGTTTGCATAAAGAATCAAACATAGCAAGTGCACTCAAGTATACTGCTCCCAAAGATTCTACCTCTTCTGTGTTCAGTGGATCTGGCCCACATCCTCCATCCTCATCTGGATTTATTTCAGAAGGCCCAGGAAAAAGTTTGCTTTCATTATTTTCCTCAACTGGCACTGAGCCTGCCACAAGCCAAGCTGGATCTTTACCAGCATCATCAAGCTCAAATGACTCTCCAGCCAAAGGTTTTTTCTCTGTTTTGGGGGATTCTCTTTCTCAACCTGCCTCACGGCCTGGAAGTTCTCTGTTAGGGGCAATGTTTGGGGGGTCTTCATCTCAAACACCAGCTTCTCAAACAGGAGGGTCTTTACTTGGTGGTTTATTTGGAGGCTCTGCACCTCAAGCTGCTTCCCAAGTTGGACCCATTAAGACTGGAGGGTCTGTCTCTCAAACTGCAGGATCTCAATCAGGATCATCATTTTTTGGAGGCTTATTTAGTGGATCTGATCCCCAGGCTGCTGAATCTCAAACTGGCACATCAATTTTAGGTGGAATATTTGGAGGCTCATTAGCCTCACCTATAGTAACTCAGACAAGTGGGTCTACTTTAGCACCCCAAAATAATAGTTCTGGATTGGAAGTAAATTCAGAAGGATCATTTTCTCTAACTGCTACGTCACAAACAAACACAAATAGTACACTGAATAAAGGTTTGYCCCCTGTGCCAGAAAAATCTGCTCCATGTCCAATACCAACTGAAACAAACACAGCATTATCTAACAATGACAAAATAACACTTACAACGGCCCTTACTGACATTTCATCTGACCAATCTGTTTTGCTAAAACCCTCAAATGACAGTGAAACTGCTGCAGCTAGTGGTGAAATAGGTGTAACTGATACTGATGTTAAAACTAAAGAGCAAGTGGAAACAAAACAACCAGATGGTACAGTTGAGACATGTGCATCCACAAGTAAGGCTACTATCATCACTGAGATCAATTGCCAAAGTAGTGTCAAATCAACTGTTTTAGCTRAAGATATCCAGTCTAATAAGTCTGAAATATGCACACAATTACAAGAGCATACAAGTGGACAGAGTCAAGATACAGCACCACCAAAAGTGGAAGAGAAACCTGTCTCTCTGTCAGTGAGTTCTGTTGTTCAAATAGAGCAGAAGCCACTTGAGTCAAACAAATCCTCCAATGATTCATCTGCAGATACAGTTACAGGCTTTATGTCCTCCTTATTTAAACCAGCAGCTGTTCCCACTGAAGGTCTTCAGCAGCAACAGCAGAATAGCTCACTGTTTGGACTGGGAGGAGCAGCAACTCAGTCTTCTCCCAGTCAGACAGGAGCATCAATATTGGGAGGTCTTTTTGGAGGGTCTAACAATCAATCAGCATCTCTCCAAACAGGGGGTTCATTACTAGGAGACCTAATTAAAACATCTGCTCCTCAGGCTAGTCCTCAAACTACAGCCACCAACACAGGAGGGTCAATATTAGGTGGGATGTTTGGAGGAGGATCCACTGCCAAACCTTCTGGTATCCAAAGTGGTGGATCATTATTGGGTGGGATGTTTGGAGGAGCTGGGGCAAAATCACAGTCGGGTGGTTCTCTTCTTGGAGGACTGTTTGGAGGTCCCACAGGGCAAGCTTCGGGCTCACAAACAGGAGCATCAATTCTTGGAGGCATAAGTGGATCACTCTTTGGTGGAATGGGACAATCACCTAAGTCATTTGAATCTGTAACAACTGAGCCAAAGTCAACAAGTGTTACCAGTTCACAGTCACAGAAAAATAATGAAAACATGTCACCTAAAGAAACTCTGTCTTGTTGTGAGAGTAATGCAAAAGAAATTGATCAAATACAAAAAAAGCCTAACAACTCAACACTGTTATCTCAAGAAGCTTGCCCTAGAATCAATGATATCACAAGTGAGACAGTGAATACCACTGTTGATATTACTACTCAGGTAATTAGCACTGAAGAAGAAAAGACAAGCCCAGACAAAGAGTTGATGAACAAGAAACACATGGTCATTAAAGGAGACRCAGAGAGTAAAGAAAAAGACAAGTCTGACCAATCTATTCCAAAACAACCAGATGTTAATAAAGTTTCCCCAGCTGTTCAGTTGCCCACTATTGTTGAACAACCTCAAGCTAAGTCTCTGTTTGATTTTATACCCACAAAGAGTGACACAGGAAGATCTCAAGGATCATTTTTTTCACCTGCAATTCCACAAGTTGTGTCATCGGTGCCCCAAACAGAAGGAGGCAATGCTCTGTTGTCAGGATTTAAATCTTTTTCTGAAAGCCTGTTTCAAGAGAAAAACCTTGTTACTGGAAAACAAGAGGGAACAGCTTCATTATTTGGTGCAAAAATAAGTTTTCCATGGCAGACAGAAACACCCAAGCCTCAATCTTCTCCAGTTACAACAGCACAACCCCAATTTAATGATAAGTCAACAAGTGATCAACCACATACAGTACAAAAGTCTTCAGCATCTGGTGCCCATGAAACTGAACTGGTAGGTTGCACAAACGGTATAGAGAACCCTCAGATTTGCGTCTCCGTCCCTGAAGTAGATCCTTCAGCATCCCTGACCCTAAAGGAGAAGGAAAGGCTTGTAGAAACACACCCTTCTGCAGGTTCTGTCGTTGGAGYGCAGCTGGACAACCAGCACAAGAAGGATCTCTTGAATGAGAAAAGGCTAGTAAAAGCATAATAAATAGTATCCACGTCACTATTTATGCTTCATTGACAGTTTGATTTAAAATAAGCATACCCTGTCCAGCTCTGCAGTCCATTATCCATGGTTGTTGTGATTGTTTGTTGTGCTTGTTTTTACACTTATCATTTCAAAACAAAACTCCAGTTTTCACTTATTTTTTATTTTTTACTTAACATATAAATCTACTACTCCTCATAAAATTACTATTTCCAGTACTTGACAAAGTTGTGTTCTTTTTTGTGGTGACAGCCTATTTTATCCTAACAATGTTCTAAAGGCATAATGTTGAACACAGATTATCTCTGCATGTTTTATAACCTTCACCAATCTGTTCTTTAGCCTTTGTTTGAATAAGTTTGTTTACCAATGTGTAAAATGCAATTAAGTTCATAATAAGCAAATAATAATAATTATAATAAAAATAATAAGGCAATTAAAATAATGCAGATTTAACTGTGTAAGGAAATCAACTATTTTCAGAGTTACTTCACAAAGAATATACCTCACACCACAAAAAAGAGCATGATCTTTCCTGTTTCTACTTTAAAGTGTAGCTTTGATGTAGGAACAATTGTGCAAAGTAAGATCACATGAATTGATGCACCTTCCACATTTGTCATCATTTCCAACATGCAGCAGCCTCCTTGCAAGGTTGGGTATCTAGAATTTTAAGGAATAGTGTGATGTGTTTACTCAACCAGTCTAGAGAAATTGATCATTTATATAGAATGTACAGTGGTTTGCAAAAGTATTCATACCCCTTGAACTTTTCCATATTTTGTCACATTACAACCACAAACATAAATATATTTCACTGGAATTTAATGTGAAAGACCAACACAAAGTGGTATACAATTGTGAAGTGGAAGCAAAATTTTACATGAATCAAAACATTTTTTACAAATAAAAAACTGAAAAGTGCGACGTGCAAAAGTATTCAGCCCCCTTTTCCCTGAGTGCAACCAATTGCATTCAGAAGTTGCCTGATGACTGCTAATGACTCAAAAGGGTCCACCTGTGTGTAATCTAATCTCAGTACAAATACAGCTGCTCTGTGACGGCCTCAGATGTTGGTTAAGAGAATATTGGGGAGCAAACAGCATCATGAAGTCCAAAGAACACACCAGACAGGTTAGGAATATGGTTTTGGAGAAGTTTAAAGCAGGCTTAGGTTATAAAAAGATTTCCCAAGCTTTGAACATCTCACGGAGCACTGTTCAATCCATCATCCGGAAATGGAAAGAGTATGGCACCACAGTAAACCTGCCAAGACAAGGCCGTCCACCTAAACTTACAGGCCGAACAAGGAGATCACTGATCAGAGAGGCAGCCAAGAGGCCCATGGTGACTCTGGATGAAATGCAGAGAGCCACAGCTCAGGTGGGGGAAACTGTCCACAGGACAACAATTAGTCGTGCACTACACAAATGTGGTCTTTATGGAAGAGTGGCAAGGAGAAAGCCATTGTTAAAAGAAAACCRTAAGAAGTCCCRTTTGCAGTTTGCCAGAAGCCATGTTGAGGACACAGCAAACATGTGGAAGAAGGTGCTTTGGTCAGACGAGACCAAAATTGAACTTTTTGGCCACAATGCAAAACGCTATGTGTGGCGGAGAAAGAACACTGCACATCACTCTGAAAACACCATCCCCACTGTCAAATATGGTGGTGGCAGCATCATGCTCTGGGGGTGCTTCTCTTCAGCAGGGACCGGGAAGTTGGTCAAAGTTGATGGGAAGATGGATGGAGCCAAATACAGGGCAATCTTGGAAGAAAACCTGTTGGAGTCAGCAAAAGATTTGAGACTGGGGCGGAGGTTCACCTTCCAGCAGGACAACGACCCTAAACATAAAGCCAAAGCTACAATGGAGTGGTTTAAAAAAAAGAATATTCATGTGTTAGAATGGCCCAGTCAAAGTCCAGACCTAAACCCAATTGAGAATTTGTGGCAAGATCTCAAAACTGCTGTTCACAAACGCTCTCCATCCAATCTGACTGAGCTTGAGCTGTTTTGCAAGGAGGAATGGGCAAGAATTGCAGTCACTAGATGTGCAAAGCTGGTGGAGACATACCCTAAAAGACTTGCAGCTGTAATTGCAGCAAAAGGTGGCTCCACAAAGTATTGACTCAGGGGGGCTGAATAATTTTGCACATCGCACTTTTCAGTTTTTTATTTGTAAAAAATGTTTTGATTCATGTAAAATTTTGCTTCCACTTCACAATTGTATACCACTTTGTRTTGGTCTTTCACATTAAATTCCAGTGAAATATATTTATGTTTGTGGTTGTAATGTGACAAAATATGGAAAAGTTCAAGGGGTATGAATACTTTTGCAAACCACTGTATATTATATGTAAACCATAATCAGCAGATGAGTGGGGTTTATTATAATCAAATTCAATCCAGTATTAAAATATTTCTTAATTAAAAAAAATAGAAATCAAAACCTTTTGTTAATTATCCCCACTTATCTGACTTTTTTTAAGGGAAATGATATAAATTACAAAAGTACATAGGAATAGTTTTCAGTTTATTCATTTTCTGAATATGCTTTTTATACCTTTCTTTTTATTATAGTCCAGTGGAAAGTAGTCGCTTTGGTTCATCAGGGAACCTGAGTCAGATCAGCTCTCAGCTAAGTGAGACAGGACATGAGAGCACTGGAGGGTCTGAACTGGAGGAGTCTTTCCACTCCTATCATAGTACTGGACTACACCCCTCTACTAATGGGCAACCACACACAAATGGTCATTTGCTCACTAATGGACATCCCACTGACAGTGAGAAGGAAATACATATGGAGTCYCCTGAAGTAGGACCAAATTTGAAAAATGACACATCAGAAAAGGAATCCGCTAAGCTCCAAAGGTACTATTCTTACATGGATTACAACTTTATTTGATCTACAATGTAGGTGAAAGAGAGGTTATAGTCTCTTTGATTTTTTGTAAATTATTGTAACCTAGATTCCAGGATGGAGGGCCTCCATTACCATTTTCCCCATCAAGAGTTCGTTGGTTGAGGGCCATAAATAAAGTCCGGGTTCAGCTTCGTGAGGTCAGTTGCATCTTTTTCTTCTACTTACATTTGATTGCATCCCTGATCACTTTCAAGTATTTCCTTTTTGTCCCTTCCAAAGCACTATCCAAAAACCACTTCATATGCATATACAATACTGCAACCTCTTTGACACTGGTTGAGTTTGGCCTCTCTGCATACAAATATACTAAAATGATCAATTGTGTACAATTTTTCTGAGGGTTTTGTTTTCTTAATTTACTATAAAATTGAATGTTTTTTTTTTTTTTTTTGGGGGGGGGGGTCCGCTGGGCATTCAATATCTGATGCACTTTTAAAATTATTATAAAGTTAGTAAAGAAGTGACATTAAAAGATCTTGCTGATGTAATTCATGTCTGCACAATGGGCCTCATGCAAGAACATGTTCGTATTTTTATCCTAAATTTCTCTTACTTTTGTTCGTACAAAGGGTTCGTACGAACATGTCACGCCAGATTCAACAAACACTTCTATCTTCAGGAAAYGTGCGTAAATGAGCTGCGTAAATTACACCTGATCGTATCCAGCTGCTCGTGCACGCGAGAGGAGATTAGCATAATTACCACCCCAAAAACACCATATAAGGCTATGATTCCTGCCTCA